GTTCATCACGGAATGTCAGAGCTGTGGCTGTTACCCTAAGTTCAAGAGGCTTAATTTCGGAAAATGAACATGCATTGCGGCACATGGGCTTAGTTTTGAACATGAACGCCCGAAAAGAATCAATGTGGGTCAAGTGGGAAGCTTCTTGATCTGAACTTGGTGAAAGTGAAGCCTGAAAATATAGTGAGAATAGCTCGTAGAGCAATTCGTTCTCTGACTCTGAAACGAATGTGTAGCATATAGTGGAGTTCTGGCACGTTGGCAAGTAAGGCCGTCTCGGAAAGCTTTCAACCAACTCGTTGATGGATCCCTTAAGCCGTGTTAAAGTAGCCTCCGCTGCTGTAGAACCGAAGCCTTGTGAGACCACATTTTGCAATCCGATCACAAATGATTGTGCCACTCGAATAGTATCCACATTAGCAGCATCGGCGGAGTACCTGGGGCTTAATGCGGCAATCACATAATCTATGATCCTACATATTGCAGTCTGCCCTGGACAGAGCTTAAAGAACTTAGTTTTGTTTTCTACAGGCGCATTGCTTCGACTTACCACACTCGCCTCTGCTAACCGTGAAATATATTCCTGCGGTAGTGCTGCCAGTATGCGTGTGCTGTTCTCTGATAAGAGCCAGTGCAAAGCAACTTCAGGCAATCCAGATGGCAAGGCGGCCGTTGGAAGGAGGTAAATCAAGAACGTTGTACCCTACAAGGATAGTTAACTGTGAGCGGTCTGCGATAATCCCTTTCTGTGTCTCAATACATACCAGCTTCTGCACTATAGGATCAATACTATCCCTCGTGACTTTCTCGCAAAGCTTCGCAATCTTGGACGAGTTAGTCTGTATCCAAGACTCTCGCTGACTTCCTTCCACGGTCGCGCATATCTCAATACCTAGTTTGATACTTTCCGCAGCCTGGTCGGTCATCAGACTTTGACAGCTCGTTGAGCAAGCAAGGATTACGCGCAGAACAACGAGATCTAACGTTTTCAGGCCGCGCTTTGCACTAAAGAAATGTTTAATGTTCTGTAACCAGCCAGGAACTTGCTGTGCGCTCTCAATACCTCTAGACACCTTCTGGGAAGATGCGATACGAGCAAAGGTAGCGAGGCAGAGGAGGTTGCCCATATGGTCATCCAGATCGCGCAGCGTTTTAGTGAGCTCTATTTGGAGGTTGGACATGACCTCCGAGGGGATGCTGTGGAGAACACTTGGTGAGGTCTGCAAGCCGGTCATGATCCTGTAAATTGGAAGGATCGTTTCCGCGCAAGGATTGTCTCCTATTGTGCTAATTAATTTCTTGAGGAAAGGCGCAAGCCGCGCCGGTGGGATAAAATCAGCCGGAAGAGGAGACGACAAGCTTGCCGTGCATACGGATATATACTACGCCAGTTAGTGAATTGAAACTGGAACATGCAAAGGTCCGATCTAATGATTGGTTATCAATTCAAGGGATGGAAAGGGAGACTGACCCCTGTGTCATCATCTTCGATAGCCTTCTGGAGGAATTGGTCCAAAATACATGGATAACGCTCCAGTAAGCTATCGCGAAAAGCAGCTAGTGATGCTACGAGTTGTGAGCATACTTCTGGTAAGTCAACCACACATGAAGCTCTTACTGAATGTGCTAATCAAATGCAAAGCGAGGCTGGAGCGAGATAGGCCGTCTATCAAAGCATCAACCAGAGGTCCAACCTGGCACGGCTTATGGGAAGCCCAGGAGCGGAGTGACACATTAGGTGTATGTTGAACCAAGTCATAGAGGTCCTGGAATGATATTAGCTAACGTGACTAGGATTTACAAGTATAGAATATGAGGCCCGCTGTACCTGGAGGGAGGGTGCATATGGAGCTGTGATGAGGCGCTCCACCTCGCGCCAAAGGAGATCGGCACTGTCTTGCATTGTTCAAGCTATTTTCCCATGGGGTAGCCGTCGGTGGGTATCTTGGTCTATTCTGGTCAACCACGAGGTCGTTAATCTGATTCCGGAACACTCCGCCCAGCATGTTAAGTGGAGAGAAGGAAAACGATGAATGTGTACGGCCGCCGTTGCCCCGCCAACTATCTAATCCGATATATTACTACTGTCCGTCAGTCGGCACACTACTCGGAGTACGTACTTAGGGTAAAGGGAGGTTTTCTTCTTAGAAAAGGAAAAGAAAGAAAGATTACATGGTCAAATATTCAAGGACTAATAAAACCAGCGATTCTAGAAAATTGTACTTTTTTGGGTATTTACTTATGGAGTCACGAGCCAGTAGTTGATATACCCCACGGATTTTAAATGTCCATAATTGTCAAAGTACCACCAAATACATAATCATATTAATTCAAGGGCAACTTGCCACTAGGCATGTACCTACATGGAGGGTTCCATTGGATTTATAACTGTACCTGCCAAGCATTCGAGTGTGGGATGAATTCCGCGCTATCGGACTTGTCTCCGAGGGTTTCAGGAACATGAAGGATGATAACCGAGTTAGCAATGGGTCTTTACAGGCCTCTGCCATAAATACAAGTCCTTTGCTTACTGCCCCAACTCGGCCGACATCCGATGCAACTCCTCATTATTAGTGTCGATGGCGTATGAGCTTACCGCATGAAGAGCGGGCAGTCAGGTGCGGCGTATAAAGCTGTCGCAGCACCTCACCGAGACAGAGCAATGAAAATTTATCCTGAAAATTTGGCACCCTCCAGCTTTTTCATATTCCCATATCCGCGGTTGTTTTTTTACTTCAATTGGGAGGCATGCGAGCACTTTCCCGCCTGCCACGGGGTTTCCCCGCAAATCCCCGCGTACTCCATCGCCGACCCACACTCCCACAGCCCGAAGTCTGTCAAAGCTCAAGGATCGCGCGGTTGAATAGCTCGGCCTCGAGTGGCAATGATCGTGAAAAACGTGGTGATGCTGTGAAATCTGAGCCCTCTACTGGTTCATCAAATCCTTGGACCGCGAGTCGGACGCTTCTTGTCTCTGCACTGGCCGCCGGACTCAGCTATGCCTATGCAATCTCAAGCAATAAGCCCCAGCCGGAAAGTCTGAAGCAGCCTCAATATGGGTCTACACAGGATCTTAAGAAGGTGGGTATATTCATAGGGTTACTCTTCGATGTGTACGCTATAGTATATAAAAGACGCAATTGGCTAATGATTCTCTACCACTAGGCCATTGCCGAATTACGAGCCAAGTTGGGTGATGAGGCTATTAGCACAGATGATGATGACCTTCAGGTCCATGGATTCTCAGAGTGGTCAAGTGTCAACGCAGATCGGTTTCCTGTTGCTATCGCGTATCCGAAGAGCACGGAGGACGTTGCGGAGATTGCCAAAATTTGTCACAAATACAAAATGCCAATGATTCCTTATTCTGGAGGCTCCAGTCTTGAAGCCAATTTCTCCGCTGTCCATGGTGGCCTAACAATTGATTTTGGTTCAATGAACAAGATTCTGGAGCTTCACGAAGACGATATGGACGTGGTCGTCCAACCGTCCATACAATGGATGGAATTGAACGAGAAAATCAAAGACTCTGGTCTCTTCTTTCCTGTTGACCCCGGTCCCTCGGCGATGATTGGTGGAATGATTGGGACTAATTGCAGTGGAACCAATGCAGTGCGGTATGGCACAATGAAAGATTGGGTCATTAATCTTACTGTTGTTCTGGCAGATGGGCGCATCGTGAAGACGCGCAGACGTCCGCGCAAGACTTCTGCTGGCTACAACTTGACCGGCATGTTTGTAGGGTCTGAGGGAACGCTTGGTATAGTAACCGAGGCGACTCTCAAACTGACACCGATCCCAGAGGAAACTCGTGTCGGTGTCGTCACATTCCCTACTATGCGCGACGCTGCATCTACTGCCATGCTGCTGATACGAAAAGGGATCCCTGTACAATGTATGGAAATCCTGGACGATGTTCAGATGGACGTTATCAACCGTGCTGGCGGTACGGGGCGGAGTTGGAAAACGCTACCCTCGTTGTTTTTCAAGTTCTCTGGCACAAGTGCTGGCGTTCTCGACAGCGTTAACTTGACCAGGGAACTGGCAAAAAAGAACCATGCCGAATCCTTTGAATTTGCCCAAGATGAGCGAGAGGCGCATGATTTATGGTCGGCGCGAAAACAGTCGTTGTGGAGCATGCTAGCGTTAAAAAAGGAAGGCTCGCAAGTGTGGTCTACTGATGTATCTGTGCCAATTTCGAGACTCCCTGATATTATTGGTACGTCCTTGCGTAAAGAAAGCTTTCTTGTCATATGCTAAAGGCAGCAGAAACCACGAAAAAGGAATTGGACGATCTTGGGATCTTCGCAAGTGTCCTCGGCCATATCGGAGACGGAAATTTCCACACATGTATTCTCTACAATCGCAAGGATTCAGAGGAGACAGAACGTGTAGAGAAGTTTGTCTACGATATGGTTGATCGTGCTCTTGAGATGGAGGGTTCTTGCACTGTAACGTATTCCTTGCCTATTCACGACGGATGCGTTCGACTGACATTAAAGTAGGGTGAACACGGTATTGGGCTGGGCAAGAAGAAATCCCTTCAGAAGGAGCTTGGCCCAGAGACCATTGATGTTATGCGCAGCTTCAAAAAAGCTCTTGACCCGCATTGGCTCTTGAACCCTGGCAAGATTTTTGACTATGAGGATGAATCATGATCCGCGACGACAACATGCGCAGACTTCCCAGATAAATGCCATTAGAATAGAATACTTGATGAGCGAAATATGTACATAGGTGAGACCGTCGAGTACTGTACTAAGTACTAGTAGTTAGTGTAGATAGAAGGGAATGAAAAACCCTCCCCTGCTTAATTGGGTGGGATTTAATAGATTGTCTAACCAATGGCAATGAAGAGAAAAATTGATCTACTGAATTTTAGGCTAGGGCGGGGGCTGACTCATCTCGTGGCAAGTGACTAATTCCGGAGCGATATCGCAGTCATACCACAAGCATCCTTCTTTCAGCCCCTCTTTCATAGTTAAGCCGGTGAGTAATTCGTGTCTAATGGACATCAATGGTTGTTTTCCCTACTATTTGGAACCATTGATGATCTCTATAATAATACCTTGAAGTTATTGGCTTATTAGTAACGCTAGGTCGGCACTTTGACTCATCTGTTTTCGATCAAGATGGCACCATCTCCTAAGAAGAAGTGCGGTACGAGGAATTAGCTCATGTTTTGTTATGGAATACCATGTTGATGACAAATAGGTGTCCTCGGTGCCACAGGCTCTGTGGGCCAGAGGTTTATCCTCTTGCTCGCCGATCACCCTTTTCTAGAGCTTCATGCCGTCGGTGCATCGGAGCGCTCAGCCGGCAAGGCCTACAAGGACGCCGTAAGATGGAAGCAGACTACGGCTATGTCTGAGAAGCTCAGCAACCTTGTTCTCCGGGATTGCAAAGCCTCTCAATTCGCCGACTGTGATCTTGTGTTCTCTGGTTTGAACAGCGATATCGCGGGTGAAGTTGGTATGTGGGAATCCCTTATTTGGAAAGGCTATTGCTAACCAGCATATCTCCAGAAATGGAGTTCATCAAGGCCGAGATCCCCGTATTTTCAAACGCAAAGAACTATCGCAAGCACCCCTTGGTTCCCCTCGTTGTGCCAACAGTCAACCCTCATCACTTTGATTTGATCCCTCACCAAAGGAAAGAATTCGGTTTGAAGAAGGGTTTCCTTGTGTGCAACTCCAACTGCGCGGTCATTGGTATCGTCATCCCCTTCGCGGCTCTCCAGGCCAAGTTTGGCCCTGTTGAAGAGGTCGAAGTCTTTACTGAGCAGGCCTTGTCGGGTGCTGGCTACCCCGGTGTGCCCAGCATGGACATCCTGGATAACGTTATCCCTTTCATTAGCGGTGAAGAAGACAAGCTCGAGAACGAGGCTCAGAAGATCTTGGGTTCTCTGAATGCAGATGCTACCGCCTTCGAGGAGCAGGCAGGGCTTCGAGTTGGAGCCACTTGCACTCGGGTCCACGTTACCGACGGTCATATGGCGTTTGTTTCGCTGAGATTCAAGAACCGCCCAGCGCCCAGCGCCGAACAGGTCGTGCAGGCGCTGAGGGAATACCAGTCCGAAGCGCAGAAACTGGGGGCTCCTTCTGCCCCTAAGGAGGCGATTAGGGTATTCGACGAGGCGGACAGGCCGCAACCAAGACTCGACAGAGACATCTGCGGCGGATACACTGTTAGCGTGGGTCGGGTGCGTGAAGGCGCCCAGGGAGGCTACTTTGACCTCCGCTTTGCTGCTCTCTCTCACAACACGGTCATTGGAGCCGCTGGATCCTCGATCATCAATGCTGAGATTGCAGTCCTGAAGGGATACATCTGAAATTAACAAAACGAGTTTAGATTAGAGTACATAGGTAATTAGAAGGCGTTCGATACCACTCTAAGCAGGAGGTAGTCTATACTTCCCAGTAGATGATGATGTATGGGATTAATACTACGTAGTGCTAAGTTAACTACCTACCCCTGTTCTGGTATTATGTAATCATTAACTGGGGTGGAGCAAAAGGAGCGGGCCTAGATCAGGACTAGCGTCGAATTATACACCCTAGCCCTAATTATCCTAATCAGGACAAGCACAAACTCCACTAAGCGAGTTTTTCGTAGTGGATCGGATATCACTCGACAACTTTCGGCTTTGTCTGGTTTTTCTCCTTCGGACACTTCGACAACTAACCGGGTTCAAGTCGACAAAGCAGTCAAGATGCCTCGCGGACCGTGAGTATACCATTGCAGATATTTTTCCATTGAGATTTACGATGAGCACACTGGTCCTGGAAAAACTACGTTTGAAAGGGGCTCGATGGTCACCGTTGGATAGCAGAATCGAAAGAACTCGACACTGACAGCGATGTCTACAGTACCAAGCACCAGAAGCGCCTCAGTGCGCCTTCGCACTGGCTCCTGGACAAAATGTCCGGAACCTATGCTCCCAAGGCCTCCCCCGGTCCTCACAAGCTCCGCGACTGCCTTCCCCTCATCGTGTTCATCCGTAACCGTCTCAAGTACGCCCTGAACGGCCGTGAGGTTAAGGCCATCATGATGCAGCGTCTCATCCAGGTCGACGGCAAGGTCCGCACTGACCCTACCTTCCCCGCTGGTTTCATGGACGTCATCGGCATCGAGAAGACCGGCGAGAACTTCCGTCTCATCTACGACACCAAGGGCCGTTTCACCGTCCACCGTATCCAGGCTGAGGAGGCCGAATACAAGCTGTGCAAGGTCAAGCGTGTTCAGCTCGGCAAGGGCGGGATCCCATTCTTGGTTACGCACGATGCGAGAACGTGAGTGCATACTCTCCACAAGTTCCGCGTCCATCAGTCGTTGGACCAAGCTTTGGTTGATCGGCGGAGGACGAAAGAACTTCGAAATTATATTACGACTTGCTGGCGATCAGTAAGGATCGAGTTGTAGAACTGTATATGCTAACAACTGTAATTACAGCATCCGCTACCCCGACCCTGCCATCAAGGTCAACGACACTGTGAAGGTTGACATTGCCACTGGCAAGATCACTGACTTCGCCCGCTTCGACACTGGTGTTGTCATCATGGTTACCGGTGGTCGTAACATGGGTCGTGTTGGTGTCGTCACTCACCGTGAGCGCCACGACGGAGGTTTCAACATTGTCCACGTCAAGGATGCTGTTGACAACACCTTCGCCACCCGTGAGTCCAACGTCTTCGTCATTGGCCAGGAGAAGCCCTGGATCTCCCTTCCCAAGGGCAAGGGTGTCAAGGTACGTTTGCTATCCGTTCTACATAGGCAGTCCAACGCAAGATACTAACGCATCATACAGCTCTCCATCGCTGAGGAGCGTGACCGCCGCCGTGCTGCTGCCATTGCCAACTAAATGTATCTTGGTAGGTGACATTAGACACTGCAGCAAAATCAAAAGACTTGAAAAATCCGCTAGAGACGACATCTTGTCTTGCTTTGTGGGCCTGTATGACGCCGGTTATGATTCTATGATGCGTTTCTAGGAAGAAAAAAAAGTTGTCTACAGGACGCATAATGGGGCTTGGTAGTTTCCATATCCATGTTCCGTAGGGTCAAGCCATAGCAAGCAAAACAGGGACTGCCGTCTCGTTTGATATGATACCTCTTAATTAGTCTTGTTCTGAAATGACCTGACATTTGATACCCCGCTCGAGTATTTGTCCAAAGTAGATATCACCGTCTTTTGACTCTGTATCTTTCCACGATATGGACCCTTTAGATAACTGGTTCACAAGGAATAGTCCGAATGGGACGGAGTGGCCCGTCGCGCACTGGGGATGTCCACACCTTTTAGGTAACGGAATCTGGTTTGACCGATCGCCACTTTACCTCTCACATTGACATGATTCACACGTAAATCCCTCCAACTCAATCTCCAAATCTGAGTGGGACTGATTAGATAAAAGCACAACAGGTAAACTGAGCGAACGCCCGTATCACCAATTAGCGTTCGTTCATTACACCCACTACGGTGGGTAGAGTCGCAAAGATACCTGGTTCTATACGAAAGGGGCACAAGTGGGAGTGGAACACGTCGAATTCTCTGCAGGATCCGTACGGATCCTTCCTTCTCCGTCATGCACCGCTCCCGTCCTACTCCGTAGTTGTGCCCTAAATGCCTTTTTCAGTAGCGGCACCTACCATACCCTCCGTTGAGACCGATCCTCGGCATTATCATAGCGACGTAAGCGCGTTGACCATGCAGCAGGAGAGAAGAATCACCCGGCTAAAGCGCAAGCCCCATGCGACGGTCTTAAACCTTGGCTCGGGTGCGTTGGACGGAGGTGACAAGTCATTGTTGGAGCCGATCTTACTTCCATTTGGCGTCCCTGTAGTGATTGAAGGATTGGAAACCAATCATCAGGGGGCATCGAGGTACGGGGAAATCGAGGCCTTTGAACGACGGGGAACAAATAGGAGAACTTTACCCTATCGGGGGATAGGCAACTCTTTTGAAGCTTGATTTTGGGGATTGAGTTTGAAATCTAGACGGGACTATCCAGATGGATACCGACATGACGGAGTTCCTCTCTCGTCATTCCAGGATGGGAACCAGCAGTGGCCTTGTATTCTGTACCACTATCCCTGTTCCTAACTTTTGAGTACATTCCTAACAGTTCGTGTGTGTTCCCTTTTTCAGCAGTGACTCGCGGTCTGAGGTGGTCCGCATGCAGATGATCTCCTGCCATGTTGAGATGCGTGACTATCGGGTGGAGATAATTGGAGTACTCACATACTTTGTACAAATAATTAAATTGACTTAGTTCATGTACCGCGGGACCGCTACAGGAATCGGGATATATATTACTATGCACGTCACAAGTGATGGGCCAATCTGCTTCATTATCTCCGGCAGACAAGCTGCAATAGAGTATACCTAGGGTTGTGTACGGAATAGTGCAGACTTTATCGTTCTTGTGTGGGCCGTTCAGTTCAGAACTACAGTTATGAGGAAAGGACCAGGGACTGTCAAAAAGAAAACAAACATATGAAAAATAAAAATAAAAAAATTAACTATTGTTTGAGGAAAAGAACGTCTTAGACCCAACGCCACACCTTCTTTCGAATGCAAATGTTATGTATGTAGTATGTACTACAGCAAGCAAAAGCAAGTCCGTTAACTGACAACTGTTCTTTCTTTTTCTTTTTTTGACTCCAAGCATGCCTTTCTCTAGATGCAAGTTCATAATAGCCATCTAAGGAAGGTGACACTCGGTATATACTGAATCATTTTCTGGAGGGGTGCCGAAAGAAGCGAACAGCTCACGAGACTACTGCAACCCACTGACTCGACTTCTCAATGTATGTACATAGTAGCTGATAATAATAAGCACCACCCTTGTTTCTGGCAAAATCAGGAAGGAAAGAAACTGGGACACAGGCTTGGGGCAAATTGAACGCCAGCTTTCATTCTTTTCCCAGCAGAGCGGGTCTTATTGCAGCTACCTTCTCTTCTCTTTCAGCTCTCCATGTTGTCTGGGGCGTTCACCATTCTCCTCTGTGTGGTCGGTGAATTTTCAACCTGTAATTCGACGTGGAGAGAGCCTTGGAACGGTCCATGCAAGCCAACGCGCGCCATCCTTGATTTCCGAAAGATGATTGAGTCACGTTTTACTATTGACCTGGGGGGTCTTAACAGGGACGCTCACACACAAAAAAAGAAATTGAGAAAATAAAAAAATAAAAAAAAGAAGCACCGTTCCAATGACGGCAATTGCCCATATACACTGGGCGGGAACTCCGACTCGCTTCATTTCCACCACGCCACAGGGACAACAACATCTATCATCTCGACTTGGTCTAGCACCGTGTACTCCGTATGTACCGTGGAAAACTCATCGGCAGATGCGGACCAGGACAACCAATGGGAGTTTCTACTATTAGCCAGGGTTGAGTTCGGTTGATCACAGCATAATGGACTGGCCGTTATTTTTCGACGGCCGGCTACAGCCGCGAGTTCTTTTTCCAATGTCCCCACCAGGTACTCCGTCGTAGTACAACATAGTACTACGGAGTACGTACGTACCAGTACAGCTGTCATGCCCAATGATGAATCCTTTCGTGTACCTTGCCATAACGGTCCGCTAATTACACTTTGAAAATTTCCTCTTCTTCATTTCGCCCCTTAGGAGGACTAACGGCTCAGGGCGTGAGTACAACAGAGAAGCCGCTGGCCCCATAGTGTCGCGCGGCGTTGGAGAACCGAATCGGATCGACATTTATAGCCCCCGAGCATCGGCGATACCCTTCATGAGGCAGAGAAACATGGCCCCATAGGCAATGAACGAAAAAGAAGAGATGAGCGACTAACTCAGTTACTGGATCAGGAGTGTCCGCTAGCAGTTCCTTTGTTCCACCGTGCTCCATAGACAGTTTCTAGCGTGTATCCTCATGCAGGGTGCCATGGAGCTGTGTGTGTGTGTGAGAGAGAGAGAGAGAGAAAGAGAGAGGGAGGGAGAGGGAGAGAGAAAAGTGGCGATCTAAATTACTGGTCGATTAAGGTCAATTCAAGGCAGGATGATGCTACGCCCATCTATCACTGCCGTTATCATCAGAATTATGACTATCCTCAAAAAGTCCTCCCCTGCCAGATCCCGAGCTTTCCGTCCAGAAGGTCGACTTCACCGCTACAGTCACACTCACTAGTTGCTCCGGCTTAACACATTACATGTCGATTGAACGATTGAACCACATCCAGTACGGGTGAATCTTCCAGAAAAGAATGGCTAATGCATCTTATTCGACCCCATGCAATGTTGCTGACCGCTTCTCTTCAATGCATTCCAATTGTTGAACGGATGGCCGCCGCTGGCTTCTATTATTGCTCTCTCATTACTCGTACCCTTCTGAACCAGTCTAAAAAAATTTTTACGCTAGTATG